CGCGAGTGTGTGTATATATATGTGACCCTCCCTCGATCATTGGCCTTTTAATACCCCGCGCAATTTCCGGCAGGTGCACAGTGCCGGCGTCAGCCGCCAAACTCATTCATCGAATGCCGCGACGCGATCAGAGCCTGCGCGAGTATATGTATATGGGTGTATGGTGTGCGCGCGCGTGTGTGTGTGCTATTGCCAAAATGGTTAAACGCCAGACCATATGCAGCCTTTGACTGGGTGATGTAATGAAAATCGCGCCGTGTGATGCTTTTGAGAAAACCGAGGGAAGATAACTCGATATTCCCCGGGGCAAATAATTGATCCCTTCGTGATGCCGAGGCGCAAAAATAGGAGAGGGGGAGTGGAAAATTTCATTAGCCGGGCGAAAGACGTGGCGCGGGCCAAGTGTCAAAACGGCGGAAATGTCCTTAAGGAGACGCGAAGTGCGCCGTGAAAATTAATCGCGCCGAATATACCCTCACGCGTCCGGGGATTGGTACCTATGTGAAAATCTCCCGTATATATGTAAACGGGTTGCTTCGGCCAAGACGTCGGTTTCTCTCTCCCTTCTAAAGACAAAAGTGTCAAGTCAATACGCTTCTCATCCCTATGAGGTAATTAACAGAACCATTTAAACCAATTGCCGGGTCATCGGAACATTGAACCCCGCATGTCAACTGTATATTAAACGACTTTGGTGAGTCGTGCAATAGGCTGCCCTCTCGCAAGGGGTGAAAACTCCCGGTATACAGTTAGTGTTGTATCGCAACGTTTGTGAGTGGAGGTATCGCCTGCGGTTTTCGACTACATCCCTCGGCGATTGTCCGAGTCTGTCGTGTCGATCCAACGACAGGAAAAACACGGCGTATACTGTAACTCTTTCTTTTTTGTTTTGTTTTTTTGACTAAAAATACGGTACACGTATACCTCTTCTAAATATTTATCGTATACAAAAATGGCTGTGTAAGTATGAGCTTTACTGAAACATTTAGTGCTTTTTTTCCTGTTTATTTTTTTTTTCTTTCTTCAAGCGTCAAGATAGTACAATCATATCTTGAAGAGTGTCTATACGTACTTGTTGTCACTGACACATATTTTACATCGCTAAATTCAAAGTAAAAAAACCATTAAAAAAAACTACGTTCTAGTACTCTTTTTTTCAACCATCGCAAGGTAATATTATATTGTAATAAAACATAGGTACGTATATAAATAGCGCTCCACAGGTAAATAAGTATACGACAGATAAATAAACACGGGAGAGTATACCTAAAGTCCTTCCGTCCCTTGGGAAAAGAGAGGGAGAAATTCAATTAGGACAACAGAAAAGCCAAAGGTATGGGTTCTTGAGTTTAATTAGAATGTTTAATGAAGTGTGCACGATAACGTTTATTTTCATTTGTATTGGAGCTATGGCTCTGCCCCTTTTGAAATGAAAATTTAAAATAAACTCTCTGGAAATGGGGGGAAGATGAGAAGGAAAATGGGAAAACAGAAGAGCTTCAGCGAAGAGCAATAGGTTAGTGGTGCGCTAGTGCGTACCTATATTATGAACGATACGAAGAAAAAACACGTAGGTACTGTTTCATATCCGTATACTCACTGTTTCCCGAGTGTCATTTCTGTTTTTTAATTATAATAGCTTCGGGTCTGAAGCAAGTGAGTTTCGTTCGTAAAGTTTTTTCTTTTTTTTGACGTGTCAAGACTGATGGAACGTGATACTGGCGGAAAAACAGGAAATTGTTACTTTGAAAGTGACTGTGTGTAATGTATACACAAATCATACAAATACATCTTGTCACGGCTACGTAGAGTGAAATAACGCTTGTGTCACGTGTATACTTATCGGATGTTGTTGCAAATAATGATAATCACTTGCAAGGAAAAATAAACCTGAAATCAATACATGATGATTTGTGTGTTTATGTTTACACATGAAGTTGGTGTTGATGATAGCTGCATTTTTCGGAATGAAGACCTAAAGATAGACTTGATACGTACAATTTTGTACCGTGATCTCTTGAGCGAATTTTTTACGATATAGTTCGACAGTATAGTATTATTTACGACCCCGATAAAATGTATCGTTGCAATCGGATCGTGAACTTGGCTTGTTTTTTTTTTCCTTTTGTTAAAGAAATTTCGTTACTTCAATATTTACGAGGAGCTAGCAACTTTGACCTCATCTCCTTAAAGTTCCAAACATCGTCTGATAAAGCATACTAAAACAACTCTTATTTACATGTGCCGAAATTTTTTACAATACACACACAATACTGATAAACGAGCTTTATTCGCAAAAAATTTGTTGAGATAAAAAGAAAAGGATTGTACAAAACTCGATGAAAATATAAAACGTGTGTGGTAGCAAAAAAAGAGGAAGCAGAAAGAGAAAATTTTATTATTTTCATGCATCGTATTATTGTGACCTGAATCGTGTTTTTATACATTTTTATTTGTTGCACTCAACATTTACTTTTCCGACAATTCAAATGTTTTATTCTTGCGTAAATAACACGGTTATTCTCTTTTTTTCCCCTAGAGACACAAGCTCGTAAAATTTGAGTAAGAAATGGAAATTTCCTTGAAATCAAGCATGGGACAAAGCATAACAAAAACGTCACATTTCTTTTGCCATTACATACAACATTGCAAACCCGTTTAGCTTTAACTTTTGCCGGTTATGAAAGAAAATTATATACTTTTGGTGTACTTTCATTTTACTATTCACTCCCTTGTTCTAGCTATGAAAAAAAAAAAAAAAAAAAAAAAAAAAAAAAAACAATTACACTTTCAATCTGTTCGATCGATAAATCGAATGCACATTGCACGTTAATGACCATAGCATTGTTACGGCTTGTAAAAAAAATGAAAGAAATAGAAAACAGATCTCATGATCGGGACCTGTACGGCAATCATATATACATATTGCACACAACTCAAGAGAATAGAGCGCGTATATATTATACACGTATACGCGTAATCGATCAGATTCCCGATAAGTCGTATCACACACAGACGCGCACTCGCGCACGGTTTGCGCAATGCACGGCAAACATACATGGAAATCTCGAAGGTTGAGCATCGCACTCTTGCTTATAGCGGCCTCTTTTTTTTCTCACGAAGCCGCAAGTAGAATGGCCGAGTCCCGTAATTTTCAAACTCATGCCTTCATTGTCTCGTCGCATTCCGATCTCTCGTTTCTGTTTCAGTGAACCAACATGTAGCGATATCCACGTTATGTTATAACCAGCGTTGTTATGCATTATGCATTTGTATATTACGTATGTACGCGGCGGTGCATTGCTGGTGGATCTCGCGCGTCTACACGGAGAGACACACATGTTGGGAAATCGATTGATTTGAATACGTCGAGCTGGTGATTTATGCGTTTTTTTTTTTTTTAGTTTTTTTTTTGGATGAGCGATTTCACGTCGTTGTGCTCTTGTTATGTTTTCGCCATCGAAGAGTGGATCGTGTGCAGAGCGAATAATTGTATGAAGAGTGGAAAAAAGTGATGTAAGATCTCTACCATTATTTTTTGCCAATTGTTGAAAAACACTGCACGAATGCAAAGTCTTTTCAAAGTTTCGCTGTGAATTGAATTTTTTCGAGTTCCAAGAGAGATTGGAATACAGTTGCACGTGTTATTACAATGGACGTGCAAGTGTGCGTTTTCACGTGAATTATTATGGATCAAAGGCTCCTTTGTTTAAGTTAGATATCTGGGATACGAATCTCTGTTTTTTAATGATCACGAAATTCCAGGCTATTATCCGCCGTACAGGTTCTTTTACGCGCGCACGGGTACATGTACTTCCTTATCAACGTAATACTTGCATAATAAGCATGAAACTAGCGCCTTAGCATAGATCAATTTAAAAATAATAATAATAACCATTCGATGAAAAACATTTTGTGAAAACGGTACAAGAAAGTTTTTTTTCTCATTCGTGCCAATTAAAGCTGGGAGTGTTAGTTACATTTCATCATACTACTAAGATCACGGATGAGTAAAAAATATAACGAGCTACCATAGAAGTTCTGAAGAGGCCAAATCAAAGCATAATTAAGTGCTCCGGCGTCTGTGCTACCATAATTTCACTTGATCTTCAAAGATATACATTTCAAACAAGCTTTCGACGAGCGAGACGATAAGAGATGGAGAACCACCAGTTATTTTACCGCTGAACAGTGTCTATACAAAGCAAGTGAAAGATCGTTCTTTTCCTACGATCTCGAATGAATAATACGCATGCACATGTTCACCAAATTAAAGTGTCTCAAACATAATTTTCGTATGAATTACTCAATATGCGTGCACTACGTTCGCAATAGGTATATTATTTAATCGCTCGTCGGCAAAGCCAAGAGTTCGAATGGACCCCGGAATTTGCATATTCGATGCTTCCCGAGCTAATGCTATCTGCGTGAACAATATGAAAATGCTTTGAATTCTCGAGCCAAGGTTCATCAATGAGACTGCATGAATGTGAATAGGGAAAAAACCGTCTTTATTACCTACTGTTGTGGTGGATGCAGTAATGTAGGTTAATCTCTGGTTAATCAACCATACCAAAGTGTACGAACTGTGAGATCTTTTTTTCTTAAAGTCATAATCAAAACGATGATTTGTTTATATTATTTATGAAAGACACTCGTGACAGTGAGTAGTAAGCTATTTATTTAAAAAAAAAAATAAATAAAAAAAATTTGTTGCAACAACTAAAACAATAAATACATGCTGTACATTTCTCCGGCTATATGCCCAAGTACAGTTTGGTTGCTCTCCTCTGTTTGAGATTGTACAGTAATTTATTAATTACTTGTATTATACAACAGTATTAAAATATTAATTTTGATCAAAGTTCCGAAGACATAGTCCCCAAACACCAAACCAAAGTTGCATCTCACTTTGAGCGAGCGCGCGTGCTCCGAAACCAAACAAACGGTGTGTATAACAATAACAAGTACAGATATATATAGGTAGTGCTTCCACTAACCTTAGAAATATCGTGCCTGTCGCTCTCCACAGCCGCCGACGCTGACGTCTCGACCTCATCCTGACAGCAGCTGTCGTCGCACGTCATCTCGACCGACAAAGATGTGACTCCGCTATATTTACTCCACGTGTTGTTGCTTATCGATTGGAAGTATGATAGACGAAATCGGCACTGCGGCGATCGAGTCCTAGCAAAGCGTCACCATTATATCTGCCTAAAGAGATGCACACATGACAGTTAAATAGCTGCAACTGAGAGGAAAGACGAACGGTCCAGTCGCGATGATCCACTCTCATCCGGAGTCGCGCACAAGCATCTTCTTTTCTCTCGCCTCAATGTCACAAGTTACAAAATATATATTTTTCTCGCAACAACAATCAAATGACACAACGATTCTCCGATATCTCTCGCTAACAATTTAAGGTACCAACAGCTGCAACGATAACAAGAACGAGGTCACGACTTGATTTTTTTTTCAAACTTTTTGCAACAAAACGAAATGAAAATCCGATACCGATTTTATTACAAGATGTAAATCTGCAAAACGCAACGTGATACGGACAACAACGGTGGTGTATCAATGCGTATTCCACGACGCCCGTGGCTGAACTGTCGCGCCGGAGCAGTAACCGACCGCTTCTCTGTGCGCCTCCCCCGACTCCCGACACCCCCCGACGATATCAGTGCATATACGCGCATGTCGCGAGCAAAAGCGGGATGGAGGAGAGGTGGACTACGGCTACAACATCGTGCGCCGTCGCTGATCTCTCTTCGCTGTCTCCTTCTTCTCTCCTCCCGACTCCGGAGTGGCAATTTTGTTTTTTGACGAAATGTAAGTAACAATCTTTTTTAGCACGGTTTGATAACCGACAATTAGTTTCAAATGCAACAGGTGATCATTTGTTAGTTTTTTTTTTTCTCATGCAGATAAGGATGGAAATATATTCCCTCCTAATGAATCGTCAATATATTGTGTAATCTATGTTAATCCCGTCAAGTTGTTTTAGCACTTGCACTTCGGCTAATACAATTAACAAGTTCGCGTCGTCAAAGTTTGCTAGCTAGGATGTTAAATATGTAACATTAATTTTGTACAAGACTTCATTGCCATACAAGAGAGAAGAAAAAGGTTTTTTTCTTAACTCGAAATATCGAATAATTTAATTTAAAAATGGACGAGAGCAAAGTATGAATTTCATCCAGATTATTGTGAATCATCGGCTGTATATATTTAATACCATAAATTAACTTTCAACGAAACGAAACTATTGTGTACACCCGTGCATCGGTATCACAGGGCCAATAATCTGGCGTCAAATCCAAATCATCGTTGAAATTAGTAAATTTATTATGAGCAAATTTATGCCATGTATTATTTACCCACGCACGGGTTAGTACTCGATCCGCACTTTGTAATCATTTCAATTACGATTTAATCCAATTTTCGTCGTCTGCGTTAATTAGGACGCAGGTAAAGTCCCGTGTGGGCTGCACCAGTGCACATCGTACAGTGGCTAACTGATGCAACGACATTTGTCATCGAACGGTTGTACACGTACTGTAGCGTTAAAATTCCGCATGAATGTGTACACGTATTAGTACATTTAGTTGGGTAACTGTCAATAGTTTGTCTTCGCTTTCATTAAAATAAATCACCGAACACTCTGATTGAGTGTAACTACATCGCGTGAATATACCTATGATTTTCAAGAATTTTATGCAATCTTTTAATTGTTGTTCGTCATAGAAAAATTTACGTAATTTACAACTGACAGGAAGTGCAATTTTATTTAAAACGTATAAACCACCAAGTACTTTCATTATGCAAATAAGGCTCGAGGTTAAAGCTTGAGAAACTTTTCAATAGCGAACGAAAGTGTAAGTGACGGTATCGTGTATCTTGTGGAAAACGATATATCCGAATACAAGCTCAAGAGCGCGTCCACAGACATGGGCTTCTGTGTAAAACGACACGCAATTCCGAAGCCATTATGCTCATCCCGGGATATTATGCTAATACCTTATTATAAGGTTCAAATAAGAATTTGCTTTTCAAACATTATACCTGGGTAATATCCGGAAAGATCCCTGGAATGGATTCAATACTTGTTTCCGGCATTTCCAAGCATTGGATATCAAAATATCTGAAAAGTAGAAGCTACAATTGCACTTGGTGATGTACATCTATTCAAAAATACTTCTTTTTTAATATACTCTTAAAAATATCATAACAAGTACTTTTAATTACTACTCCATCTCACTTAATGACTTTTATTATTTCCAAAATGTAATAAATTTGTTTTTAACTTTTAAATAGACTTGAAAGAAAATATTTTCAAAATACTCACTCTTAGCACAACAAAAACTATGCAGTTATTGAACTGTGGCTCCATTATCATGGTCAAGAGTGGCCATCCACATAGGGTTATAATTGATTAAATTATTGTATTTTAAAGTATTTGCTGAAAATAAAAAACAATGACTTTTAAGTAAACAAATAAACAGAAAAGTATCAACTGTAAGTTTTAATAAACATAATACTCTGCAATTTTTGTACTTTTGTTTAGGAAGGAAAACTTTATGAATCAATTTTATGGAAAATGCATAGTTCAAATATTTTCTATTGGAAGAAAGCTTAAAGCTTGTAATTTGGATTTACGATCCAAGAACGCAAATCATCCCTATTTTAAGAAAAAGTTGCTCAAAAAATGAACTCACCAAAATTTCATCAGTCCATAGAACATGTATATGGAACCTATACTAATTCTTTTGTAACTTCACATCCACAAGAGTCATAACTTCTATGGATTACCACAAAATAGAAGATTGACTCTAATCTTGGTATGACTATCCATTTGTACATCTATTAACATATATAAACGTTAGATTACTTCGTTCATAAATGTGGGAGCTACATTTTGTATAACTATGTACATTGTTCACCCTTACATACACAAAATAAAAATTTGGAGCGCTTCAACACTCATGAATGATTAAGCTTATTACTGAAAATCTATTGTTACATCAAATAAACACTGGGCGCTTTTACTAATGACTAATAATGCTGGATTTAAAGTTAAAGATCTGTACGGAGTCTGTTATTTGATGAAAAACGAGTGTTCTTTCAATAAATTCATCTGAGTCTAACGACTGTGACTCGTAACTAATCTCAACACTCGAAACTCCAAGGGACTTGTTAACTTAAGGATCAGGGTGTAAGGTATACATGTATAGGTATACCTAATACGGGTTTGGAGTGTTTAGACGTCGATCGGTCAATCGTTGGCGAAAGCTTATAAGCTCACAATTGTGATATCATGTCAGGTTGCGTTGCAGGCGGCCGGCCGGCCGTCTCGCCGGCCGTTAAATAACACTCATAAGTGATCATAACTCTGTTTTTCGTTCATTACATCACATTCTGCGGAGTCTGTAAAGTCATTGAAGACACTCAACTTTTTCATCCGTTTAACCTACAATATAAGTAGGTACTTTCTACCACGGGCAACTCTTCCTAACTCGTATTTACTTACTTTATCAATGTACGTATGCTACTATATGCTTTTCGTGTACGAACAGGCTACTTACAATTGTTAAAACGAAAGAAAATGACAAAAAGGGGCCTGCGGCCCGGAGTTCGATGCCGACCGCGGCCATATTGGATTTCAGCGAGAGAGGGGGAAGCGGGGAAGCGGGAGAGAAAATTCTCTCGGACTTGCGCAGTAGACTGCGCAGGAACGCTCAAAAATTTGAATTGTGCATGTTTACTTATTAATTGTTGCAAAGATATATAGCACCTTATATTTTTATTTATTGCGGAATCATGTCAACCGTTACATGAATATACACGCGTGTGAGACCTCTCGTGCAAATATAAAGCATGAAAACTTGCCGGAAAAAGAGATGTATGAATTACTTATGTTGCACGAGAAGTTGCGTAATAAAAAAAGAACGGAGCAAGGACGGGCATGTAAACCAGAGAGACTTATGTATAAGTACTTACTTATAACTTTTTTTCTGTATATAAGGTTGTGACTCTGACCTCGTGCGAGGTATGAACAAATGTGTATATATTTACATTTAGGTACAAGTTACCCACAAAACATTGAGGTGACAACCGACACTGTCTATTTTGTTGATAACATCTATAGTTATCTAAAAGATATCAATTAGTTATATAGAGAACAGTTATCGAAAAATGATGTCTTATAGTTGTCTTTCATAGACGTCTACGCGATAACTTTAGAAGACAACTAAGTGTTATCTTTTTTACTGGTATCATTTTGAAGCGTTGTCAAAATGTTATCGAAAAAATTATTTTTAAAGTTATGTCCACGTTATCGAAAGAAAAGATGCCTTATAGTTGTCTTATAAAAGACGTCCATGTGATAACTTTCAAAGACAACTTAGAGTTATATTTTTCGACCGATATCATTTTTAAGTGTTGTCAAAATGTTATCGAAAAAACAATTTTTGAGTTACCATATTTAATGCAGAAAATGATAACATTACGATAACTTACGATAAGTAAAAATGATATCAATATTTTTATCTTATTCAGACATCATTATGATAAAGCCGGTGCGATTGGTTGCGGTATATATATATAAGAGGCGCACGGTTCTCATATGTGGATTATAACCTCCTTCTTTCTTGCATCAGCTGTCAAGCAGGCCACATCGGATCCCGTTCGCTTTTTGTCCAGCTCTCTTCGTCAGAGGCATCATCAAAAGGTTGTGTTATTTGTTTCAATAAAATCTATACACTTAATCTTTTATTAATTTTTGTGCTCTCTGGCTCTTCTTCTTTCAACTCAAAAGTGGAATTAGTAAATTTTGATAAAGACCTTCTATTAAATCAAAATTTGTCATCTCAATTTGTAAGTATTTGGTTTGTTTACAAATTTTCTAGTTCTAGTTTAAGCATTTATAACTAAAAAACATTGAATATTTTTCTTTAGGAAAAAAAAATTTTAAGCCTGGGAGGAATAAGTTTATCTAATACTATAAATAAGATTATACCTACCATTATAACATAAACTGTGTCGTCAACTAACTTTTGGTACAGTTTTCATGGAACTCTTGCTGTAAAGGATCTCCATTTTTCATCGATAATCATAAGTATGTATTTTGATTCTGAAAACTTATGTATTTTTTAAAATTTATTAATCGTTAACATTTTTATAGGTGCTACACGAAAAAAAATTGCATCTACTGTAACAGATGTACAAGAACGCATTAAAGATTGGTTGCGTAGACCATCTGACAGGCAGAAAAAAAAGAGAGGAGTCAATCAACAGCCTATATTGTGATTAATTTTCTAATTGTGCTTAAACCAGTGATTCTTAAGTATGACATAAGTATAAAGTATTTTGTAATCGTAAAAAAACAATATTAAAAAATACACTTTTAAAAATATCTATTATAATGAAGGCATCGTGCAATTCAAAGAACTATAGATACCTTTGAATTGAATGAATTGATTGATTAATTTATAATTTAAAGGCCATTTTTCAAATGAATTATAAATTTGTTCAATTTAAAGGTATTTGTGGTTCTTTGAGTTGCGTAAATGCTACTATTATATTATTTAATACTATTTAAACGATACCCTCAAGATATCATTTAATTTACACAGCAGATATCTGTAAGATATCATTGAATTTAGCACCACAGATATCTAAAAGACATCCTTAATTCTTGCTCAAAAGACATCCATAAGAGATCAAAAACATTTACGGTATGACAACAGCAGACGTCTAAACGTTATCAATTAGTTGTCATTAGCTGATGTTTGTTTGCTGACAACTGATAACAATACGATGTCTTATCGACAATGCTTTGGCGTCAATTTGACATCTTGCCGATGTAGTTTTGATAACTTCGGTAGATATCAGCTNTAAGAGATCAAAAACATTTACGGTATGACAACAGCAGACGTCTAAACGTTATCAATTAGTTGTCATTAGCTGATGTTTGTTTGCTGACAACTGATAACAATACGATGTCTTATCGACAATGCTTTGGCGTCAATTTGACATCTTGCCGATGTAGTTTTGATAACTTCGGTAGATATCAGCTGACAGTTCAATGATGTCGTGTAGATGTCTTATTGTCACCTTAATGTTTTGTGGGTACAAGTACATTGTCGTTTATTATGTAGATATGAGTATACTTCTGAGGCCATACCTCTTGTTCTCGTAATATCATCTTCAGCGCAGTGCGTGTGGAATGGTTAGATATAGGTATGTAAAATAATAGGCGAGTGTATTGAGTAATGTAAGCAAGCGGTATGCGGTAACAAGGACTCACTACCATCATACACAAATCCACCGGAGGTGTACAAGTACAACGTATACCTATAATGTCTCCTCCAACATAACTATTATACTTACAACTACGGTTTTGTCGTCCTAATACAAAAGTTTTAAGTATACATACTTACATCATCATTATGCAAACAATGCGGACAAAAAATCAAAGGCCAGCGTTCAATTAATTCGAAATTTCCTGCTGTGCAACAACTCCAAAGGTAAGTAAGTTCAACAGCTCCATGGATAAGTCCCACCGCAAGATAAAGTAGGCACCGTGCATTATTTTCAGCGCCATCTAGCGAGACTGATTCTGAACTAAAAAGTATTGTATTTCTTTTAGAATAAATTCCCTAGCCCAGTAACTTTTCTAGAGAAATTTCTTTCCAAAGAAATATGGTGCTTTTTTAGTTCGGAATCAGGCTCGCTAGATGGCGCTGTACCGTTATCGTTTATGGGCAATGGGCTAAGCAGAAAACGATATCCAGTGAATGGTGAATCCTGGCCGTGAAACCCGTCAGTGGCCGCACCGCGCACGGTGGGATCCACGTCTGCAATAACCTTTCACCTACTTTCTCCAACATTGTAAGTTTTGTACACGTAATATGTAAACACTCTTAAAAATACACTTAAATACCATCCCTTGAAAAAAAAAACAGAAAAGAGAGAGAAAAAAAAAGAAGAAGAAGAAGCAAGTAAATCTCTTTTGCCTTATACACGTTAGAATACGCATTACAGGCACATTGCACTTCAAGTTTTGCATCGGAGCAGCAATAAATAAACAAAAAAAAACGAACAATACGAAAGATGCGGTATTTCGGGCTTCTGTTACTGATGCTGCTGCTCGCCCTAACCTCCTCGTATGTCCTGGGAGGCCTTGGCCCCAACCGACAGCAGAAGGATGGCCCAGCCGCTGGTCCTGGCAAGTTCCTCGTGCGCGGAGTGCCGGCCTCCAAGGCTGCCCTTTACGATCCTACGAAGCCAACGTTCGAGTGCCTCTATAACAACGATTCCATCGACTTCAAAATGGTCAATGATGATTTCTGTGATTGCGAGGACGGCAGCGACGAGCCCGGCACCTCTGCGTGTCCTAACGGGTACTTTTACTGTCGCAACAATGGTGATTATTGGCTTTATTTGTTACACTTATACTTACGTGTGTAATTGAATATTAAACCTAAATTGTAGATTTTTACTTGGTCTACTTTTGTTTTTTAGTTGAGCAAATAATTGTTAAGTTTTGGGGGATACAGTTTTTTTTTTTTTTTTTATTATGAGTCCAGTTATTTTGATGGTTCACTTAGTTTAATATGGTAATCTGTTATAGATAACGCTATCTTTGAAAAATTGGCTTTAAGAATGTCAGCCTGTTAAATTTTTATTTGTATTGCAACTGGTTGTTTATTTTTTGTCATTGATCGTTATCTTATACTTTATGTAATGACCCGTTGAAAAAGATTAAGCGTAATCATGTTATCTTTTTTTCTATTAAACATAATATAACTCTAGTTTTTATCTAAGATTTCATGTCAACAGCGTAGATAAGCGTCAGCAAAATGATAATGTATAATTAGGTGAAAACGTGTAGAACTTAGTTGTGGAAACTGTAGTTTTGTAAATTTATCTACAAATGAAATCGCTGTTTATTGATATAAATGAGGCTTTTGTTTTCATTTCTACCAGTGTTTCGAAAATATTAGTCTCACAATACAAAATATTAAATAATATAACTTTCTACAGGATACAAAGGATATTTTGTTCCCTCTGGATGGGTGAACGACGCAGTCTGTGATTGCTGTGATGGTAGTGACGAGTATATGTCTGATTCCATCACTTGTAGAGATAACTGCAAAGAATTAGCTGACATAGAGCTCAAAGAGACAGAAAAGAACGCTATGCTGTTCCAAGAAGGTGGAAAAATTCGTGACGAGCTGATAGAAAAAGGCAAAAATGTGAAGGTTGAGGCACAGGAGATGATAAACAAACTAAAAGCTGATATTTTGGAAGCTGAACGTGTAAAAAAAGAGATGGAAACTATGAAAGTGTGGGCCGAAAACAACGAAAAAGATGCTTTGAAAAAGTACGAAAAGGTGCCAATACATGAAGAGAAAAAGCTTGAACCTGCATTAAATGAAGAAATTCTGGAAACTGCTGAGCACAATCCCGAGGATTACTTCAATCGCTTGGATTTAGACCAAAATGGTGTTTTGACAATATCTGAGTTGCAGGAAGACCATATATTCGATAAGAATAATGATGCTGAAGTCAGCAGAGAAGAAGTTATGTATTTCCTAAACAACAAGGAAGAAGTAAATTTGGAAGAATTTACTTCTGTTGTCTGGCTCTACATTAAGCCTCTCATTATGAAAGAAGAAGGTAATAGTTGACTTTTTTTTCTGAACAAATGCATATTGTTTTACTATGTTGAATACTGACCGTCAACTCTTGTGAATAATGAATGCACTTGAATTTTAAAGTAAAGTTAATGAACGTGTTTCATTTGACGTGACCTCGAAAAAAGTGAATGTTTGCTACTGAATTAATGATAACAATATTCAACATTATCTACTCCATAAATTACTGCAGAAAAAGTTTTTCACCAGAGCTATGTACATTTAAAGCATATCACACTAGTGCATGCAATCAATACATCAATGATATTTAAAAAAAAATTTTGTTTACAAAATTTTATCACCTTTATAGGTCTTTTCAAGCCTCCAATGACAGATGAAGTAATCCCAGAGAAGAGAGATGAACCTTTTAAGGTGGAGCATGAACATCCCGATGAAGAGCAGCAACACCCTGAAGAGGAGCAGGAACTCCCTGAAGAGGAGCACGAACACCCAGAAGAGGAGCAGGAAGGCCTTGAAGAGGAGCATGAAAATCTTGAAGAGGAAAGTGAACACCGTGAAGAAGAAAATGAACGACGTCAAGAGGAAAATGAACACCACGAAGAGGGTACACATAAAGAGGAGGAAAAAGAAAGCGTTCAATATGATCCAGAGACTGAAGCAATTATAAATCAAGCCAAAAAAGCCAGAGAAGACTACCAACGGGCAGAGCGTGCTGTGCTTGATCTTCACAATGAAATTCGTCAACATGGCAAGTTTAAAGTTACGTAATATTAAAAAAAAAAATCTATGATTAACTAAAATAAATTGCAATTTCGCAGAGGAACGCGTCCAGCGGGACTATGGACCTAACAACGAGTTTGCGCCGCTTGATGGCCAGTGTTTTGATTATGATACATCTGAGTACACCTACAGCTTGTGCTTGTTTGGCAAAATAACACAGCGCTCGAAATCCGGTGGTTCTGAAGTCAACTTGGGACAGTGGAATTCGTGGATTGGTGGTGAAGGAGATCACAAGTATACCAAGGTGAAATTCGACCGGGGCCTGACGTGCTGGAACGGACCGGCTCGTTCGACCATTGTCACCTTGTCATGTAGCACTGAACACATGATTACTTCAGTGAGCGAGCCTAACAGATGTGAATACGCCATGGAATTCGCAACGCCAGCTGCTTGCAACATGAACCTGATTGAAAAAAAATACGATTTCCACGACAGTTCAACCTGGCGAGATACTCACGAAGAGCTGTGATTCAGTTCATTGCCGCATTTTATTCTGCTTCTCCTCGTTGTTCACGGTCCTCATTCCAATGTTATGCCGCACACCAAAGGAGTTTCTTCACTGCTGATAGATATGAGTGCAGCCATTAGATGGGCTTGAATCTTGTGGTTTGATATGTTAGGGACTTCTTTTTGTTCCTAATGAAAGTTGTACATATAATAGAGTTTTTGGGTAATGTGATTTTAACGTGTAGTCATCTCCACAGAAAACTAAACTTTGGCCTCCAAGTGATTCTATTGTTGATATCATAGGTCGTATAATTGTTTGAAATGATTAAAGTGATAATATTGTATATTTTTTTCTAATGAGCATTTACACTTGCATTGATTTCAACTGCTTTTTTTTTTTTTTAACTGATTGATTTTTGTACCAAGTACGCCTCATTGTTTGTTAAATTTTTCTGTTTTCCCCAGCACCATAAACATTCAAACATGTACGTACCTTAATAATTAGTCTTTGCATTTTAGCATTTGTTCCATCCATATGTATTATATTTATGAAATCAGTACGTAGAAGCAGATGTTTAATTTTTATTTTTATTTATTTTTTTTTTTTTAAAGCATCACTCTGCTGTACATAAAGCATTTTACCTGTTCAAGTATTTTTTAGCAATATATACAGCTTATAAATATTATTGAAAAGTGCTGAATTTGAAAGTTGAATCATATCACCAATTATTGTTTAAAAATGTAAAGACTATTGAGAGGATGAGATATTTTTAACTACCGCAAACTACAGTTTTGATTATTTGTACATAAAGAAATTATGTAAGCCAAGTTTAAATTGTAAATTACCTTTTCAATAAACATGTTTGTAATTATGTTTTTGTTAAAGATTACATTTGGAATGCGTGAGTTTACGAGGAGTATTCTTGAAAGAATTTTTCTGTATTGACTGATACGTAATTGTTGACGAAAAACCCAGTGCATAAAAAAGTTTTTATAAACTAGTTGATGAACAAAATGTAATGTTTCTATTTTCGACTTGATTAAATATTTCAAAGCATTTCGAATTAAGATTGACTGATTCTTTTGTAATGAATCACGATTGAAGTATTGTGATTTTCCGCACGTTGAAAAAAACTATTTTAATTACTTTAATCATTAAAGCGCATTGATGGGTCATGCATTTCTGTTTATAAAAATATATTATGTCTTAAAAGACACTAGAACAGAGATTTCATGCAAACAAAGTGTACTTTGAATGCATTATACATTCCCATTTTTTACAAAAAAAAAAAAACTAAATAATTTAAGAATACAAAAAATATCCTGTGATTAAAATCACCTGATACCTGCATTTATTCCCAATCTCTTTGATTGCATGTGAAAAATCTTTGTTAGGTGTTTGGTGAGGTTTCCAATTTTTTCGTGACTTTATTGTGATGTGAGAAGTACTCTATTTGTGATGTAGTATTTGATTTTGATGTAAAATTTATTAATACCACGTTTTTCTTTAATATCTGAGGTATGTGCACGTTTGCAAGATTTTTTGTACAATGCTGTACTTTAAATGACCATGTGTGTGGATTATGGAAAAGAATAAATAATGTTCAAACTGTTATTTACACATTTTTTAAATTGGCAAAATCTTATTTACTGAACATTTTTACAATTCAACTTCTAAGTTTCTAAAATTGTTACATCTTCATTTCGGCTATTTTTAAACCCAAGACTCATTTGATTTTTTAACACATTTAACATGGAATCGTTTGTCCATTTTAATTTTTTTTTTTTTTTTTTTTTCATAATTTCGTCAAGTGATCGATCGAGCTCACGTGTAAGGCACTTAAGGCTAAAAAAAAAAAAAAGGATTTCGCCAAAATTCGTTCATACATAATATTTCTTTTCCGTATTTTTGTTAAATCTATTTTGATAGTAGCCCAAAAATGGGGTGATATACTTTACAACCGCCAAAACACGAAGATAAAGAGCACTCTACACTTAATTATTTATTTACAAAAAAGAAAAAAGGAAAAATCGTTACGTTTGAGAGAGAAAAAAAAACATTAAGTAGATGCTGCAAGCACATACATTATTAGGCAATACTGCTCCATCGCCACGCGTATAAATACAAATGATCTTTTTCTTGCTGAATAAAAAAAAAAAAAAAAGTAATAATAACGAGTACTTAAGGGATGCAGGCGTCGAGTGGAAATCTCAAAAATAATTTCGTCTAACGCCAGTGAAAGACTAGCCGTTAATCATTGCTGGATCTCAGCGTATCAAAAAGTCACACCAAACTTGAAAGCAAATGAATATTTCTGCGTTTGAACCGACATGACAGCTGGTACAAGTCACGTTCCGTATGATGGAAAGAAAAAAAAACGACGTTTCCAAGATTTCCAAGCGATTACTCCTTTTTACAGTACGTAAACAATAATTTAACACTCCTCGTTGATATACATAATTAAATTCAGCGATTGAATCATACAGTCTTTACATTTCATCATCATCATCATTCCACCACATACCAATCAAAAGTCAATAAATTTGAAAAAATGATCTCTCGTGCTTCAATCGTAAAAAATCAAACATCACCCCAGAACACATACGCCACAGAACCGCACTCATTCCTTCGTACAAATGCATCTTGAAAAAAAATAACAGTTTCTCCGCGAAACCGAGATCTTTCACCACGTGCATCGAACAAGCGTAAACCGACAAAACCGTCACAAAAACGTACTGGTTTATCAATTTAAACGAAGAAATGATAACAAAAAAAAAAAAAAAAAAAAAAAAAAAAAAAAAAAAAAAAAAAAAAAAAAAAAAAAAAAAAAACAAAAAAAAAAAAAAAAAAAAAAAAAAAAAAAAAAAAAAAAAAAAANGCACTCGGTGTATACGCTGGCCGTGCGAACCTCCTCTACTCGGTGCGCTATAGTAACGGTATTTTATATGTATACATATAGGTAAGGATATCGCGCGGTGTTAGAGGAGAGCCTCTTTTCTTTTCTCTAACACGTATATATGTATAGGCGTTTATGCCAACTCGTGCCCGCGCACCACTGCAGAGACCGGTTTGTTTGCGGCAGTGTAATCGGAGTAAGCTGTAAGTCTAGGAGTTTGCATGGTAATTTTTTTTTTTTTTTTTCCTATAAATAGTTCGAATGTCTCGGTGATGGATATAGCCTGACATGGTTGATTATTGTTTGTCTCGAAAATTAAAGATAATTTGCGTCAAAGCCAAGGTTTTCAACACAAAAAAAGATAGTATTTTGTGTGGAAAAATTTCATAAATATTTTAGTTTAAAAAGCCATATCGTTCATGAGTCATTGAAGTTTATAATAGTATACATGATCTTCAAAAAGTTTTTTTTTTTTTTCTCAGCAAAGTGACTCCCAAAAGTAAAAAATAAAAAAAGGACTATTTTCTATTTAATTTAAACAAGCGATCCCCGTGACATACGAGTCAAAGAAGCCAAAATTGAAAGATTCTTCCAGTGGCCAAACAACCTCCCCAATTATTATTATTATTTCTATCGCGAGTTGGGCAAATTTAGCACTTGAACGAATCGAGTGGGACGAAACGCCGAGCCCTCTCGCGTGCCCCATCCGTTTAGCACACCCTTCGGTCATCATTGGGCACGCGATACAAGTAAACGCGAGCTGGTGCAAAGCTTGTTACCCCCCAGTCAGTTTCTCTCTATATTGGATTTTCGAGCTCGATGCATCATTTTTTTCCTCAACATTTGTTACGTAAAGTGCTCAAAACGACCCCCACCGGGGCTTCCTCGGCTCTTATTTCCTTCGCGTTTTACGCGAGCCTATTTGATTTCTTATATTTATTGTGAGTCTTGAAAAAAAAAAAAAAAAAAAAAAAAAAAAGTCAATAGCGACCTCCAAAACCTTGTCTTCGAGCTCGATCTTCTCGGGGACCCTCTGCCTGGGCCTGGGCACGAGCGGCTTCTTCGTCCTTAGCAACTCGATGGTCGCCGTGTTCCTCTTGTTCTCGTCAACGACGCGCCTACCCAGCCCGTAAACGCCGATGGTAACCCTCGGCCCCGAGGACTCGACCTGCTTCTGCCTGAGCTGGTGCGTCCTCTGCTCCTGGCGTTGCTGCTGGAGCTGCTGTTTGCACCTGTCGACGTCGTCCGGCCGCGACTCTATCAGCCGACGGCGCTCCAGAGGGTCGAGGTTCAGCTGCTCGATTATCGCCCGGATGTTGGACGATATGCTGCTCTCGCGGTGGGACACCACCATTTTTGCTTCTCTTCCTTTTCACTTTTCGTCAATGCTGGGAGAGTTTTTTTTTCTCTTCTATCGCCACTCCTTGATTTTTTTTTTTCTCAAGTTTGCAGCATGTTGAACCTTTTTTTTTTTTTTTTTAGAATAGGGGAGAAGAAAAAATTCGTCCGAGTTAGGATTTACATCGTATATTTTTCCGTCGAGATGACAACACCGTTTGCGTTCGTTCATATTCATTTTGGTTGATGAGAATAGACCATCATCGGTTTTTCTCAAAGACGCGACTAAAATAAAAAAAAAAAAATAAAAAAATAACGTCACCATTTTTCGCTCCTTATCTCTCTCTCTCTGGCGTTTGGAAAACACTCGGGATTTTTCCGACTCGTAAATCATACACACCCACACCTGCCCCTACTTGAAAATCAGCATCGGGAGCTCGTGTTTATCAGCTCAGCCGATAAGCGCTCTCAGTGGGGGAAATTGAGTCATACGGGTACTTTATTTTCCTTTTTCCTTTATTCCACCGAATGCTTTCAAGGTAAGAAATGAATAAAATTTTTATCGCCAGCAATAACTAACGAGTGGCGTTTGAAAGGCCGCTGTGCGCACCTGCCTTTTCCAAATATTGAATGAGCACGCACGGACGACGAGGTCGAAGGAGTCGCTGCCGAGTGGAGTGGGGCTGGATCGATCGCACCCCCTTTCCCCGCCCTTTTTAATATAGTTACCAGAGTCCGCGACATCGGTGCCGAAAGTTTATGGGGCAAGTTGATACACGGAGACACATTAATAACGATCGAGGTCGTCTCGTTTACGCTACTCGGTAACGCGAGCACCGATTTCCCGGGGAGCATAGATCGCATAAAAGCTTCTCAAGGGGATGATCCGTTACGTGGAGACACGCACGTACACGATGATTATTTGCATGGCAGCTACAGAATCGTGTATACGAAAGATAATTAATCGCATTTTTCTTCTTCCCCGCGTCGCTCGTTCGGTCCACCCCCCCTCCTTTATCGATCGCCCCCGATTTTTCGAGCTTTTGTTAACTCCGAAGATGACAAAGGACCCAGTGTTTTTTTTTTGTTAAAGCGGTGCTGATTTCCAATCTCGAAATCGCCAGCGGAAATTGCAACCGAATATTTTTTCCTCTCAAAAATTACAAAACGCAACTTCCTTTCGGCATAAACGTTACCCAAGACGCTCGCAACGTCGGCGTATCCTGAACTACAGCTCTGAGTGGTACACAACTCGCGTCCTTAGTATACTTTTGAAAATGATGGCGCGCTACGGTAACACCTGAAAACTCGAGCGAGAGACCCGAAACGCGATCAGACACCCGCCGATTATGACCTTAGCCGTAACCTCGTTGTCGTCGCGTGCGAGTGTCCGAATTGCAAAAGCTACGTGCTCTTTGAAACAAAAAGTCTAGGTGCAAAACCCTCGGTCGCGCCGGGAATGCAGCGACTAATTAGGAGCGATGAATCAACGTCTGTTACAACGCAACGTTCGCCACTGACTTTCTCGCCAATATATATATAGTCTTGGGCAACGTGCTGTCCGCGTACATCCGGATAGTCTACGAAAGATTTTTACGCACGTGTTTTTGAGAATCGTCCCCCCCACCCCATTTCCTTCGAAAGGTGATAATGCTCGCGATGGCAAAGGTAGAGACGTGGAACGTCGTCCCCGGGGGAACGCAAACTGCCATCGCGAGAAGAAGGAGGTGAAAAAAAGGTCGGGCAACGTGAAGAGAGAAGAGAGACATTCGCGCTGGTCGACCCACGCGAGAGATCGCGCACGTACACAATGCACTCCGCCCGCGCCCACGGGACTCGGCGGAGACAAAACAGCGTCTCTTTCTCTCGTCTTTTCCCCGCCACCGTCATCATGTTCCCCTTTCACGTCCGCGCGAATCGTATATTAACGCTCGCGGTGTTGCGGCTCCCATTACCTTCATTAAACTAGCCGCCCATGTATATAGTACACGGAGAGCATGGAAACATAAAATACGCTAGCGTCCTGATTTTGCGCTTCCTTGTTTCCCTCTTGCCCGGCACTTGTCGTTGCAATTTGTCAACGTGGCTTGTTTTATTTGAAGTGCATCGAAAAAGGAATCGTAAATGGCACAATTTGGGCATTGTGCTCGACACAAAACAATGGACAAAGACCAGCGAGCGTGTACTTTCCCTACGTGAAAAGTCGCACGAAAAGTGGAGGACGAATAGTAATGATGAATTTGTCGCGGGATGAGCATTGCCAGCGCGGAGGGCGTTTTGAAACTTTTAAGAGCGAAGAGAGGGATCGAGTTGTTGGCAAGTCACCGCGGTCGCTGGGAAATCATGAAACGGAAAGTGATCAGCCAACCAGAGTCTCGCCTGTGAGATTTTTTTTTTTTTTCCTTCTGTCTCTCGTTTGGGTCAGTGATGGCTCCGAGCAGGAAACGGTGGAAACTCGAATCTCTTTATCTTTGGCCAACAATCAAAAGTCTGTTATGACTTTGATCTCTTGGTGTAAACACGATATTAAAGTTGACACGTAAACATTGACGACGATACTGCTAATGTTTATAAAATTGTGCTATGAAGGTGCTATACACAACCTCGTACAATAAAATGTATAAAATTAAATGCAAGTTTGAAAAAAAGAATCAAAATAAAATGAACCGATCGAGTACACGTCCAATCACGTATATGTATAAGTAGTACGTCTGCGTAGCATAAATCTCAACTGACGACCGATCCGATTTGGTGAAAAAAAAAAAAAAAAAAAAAATGTATGAACGTCACGAAACGCGTGTACCTATATGGTATGGTTGAAGTATAGTGTACCGTTACTTTTTTCGATAGTTTGACGTATATATTATTTTCCACTCCGTGACCCGAGCAGGTGTCAAATTAAATGTCCGAAGCGTAGGTTGTTGCAATATTTACACTAAGCGCCATGAAAACAAGTCATTAAAAAAAAATTTTTTTTTTTTTCAAAGTACCCACCTACTATATTTTTAGTATAAAAAATCAAACGATTAACGATGGTGTTGGTGTTACCTCGATGGTTCCCTTTCAATTTAAATTCAACCGAGAGTTTACGACACCAGTGAGCGCGCATCTGACTAAAGTTATTACAAAACGTTGGCGCTCCGTACCGTTTCGGATGTACCTACGGTTGACCGGAGAATCGGTGTTACCACCAAACAGAAGACGAGAGGATTGATTAATCACGTGTATGTAGATACATTAGTCTGCATATTATTAGGGTATCTCATTTCTTGGATCAAATGAGCACGCGTTTCTTCAATACAGTCGAGTATTGAAATTCAGGTCCCTGCGGTTTTGAGACTGATCGGTTGGATCCTTTTTAACGATAAAATTGTACATGTGACACTACTAGACTTACTGTCGATGAAGCGTGCAAAATATTATTTTGCTGTAAGACGTGATTTTTTTTTTTTTTTTTTTTAGGCTAACAGTGAGGAGATGTTCGACATACACAACGATACAACGAGAAAAGCGCAAAAATTATGAAATACACTAGCTACAGTCGGCTGTGAGCTTTTTGGAGCTTGCAGTGTCTTTGGCTTGAAAAATGTTTAAAATCAAATGCATGTACACCGTGATGATTGTAACTGTCACCACCTAAAAAGGTGCTCTCGGCTGGTGGCAAAAGCGGGTCAAGCGGACTGCGCTCTATTTTATTGTTGAGGTGCGAGCGTGAAGGTGAGCCGAGACATTTAAGCCCGAGTCGGTAAGAGAGATAAGAAAAGTCTCGGCTCGTGAAATGGCACACCTCGGATCGCGTGGGCGTCGCACATACACAATGTTTACCACGAGCTCCCACTGCATTTCGTTCCGTTGTCTCTTGCTTGCCGCGACCCTCATTTGACTCGCGCGGATTAACCTCAAGACGACCATATGTAAACCCACATTTCTTACCCCCCCCCCCCCTCCTTTTTTTCCATACAAACGTGCGATGCGACCTGCAAAGATAACACGGACACCTTTTATTTGTATAAATAAATGCATCGCGCACTCGGCGGGAAAAAGAAGAAAACAAGAGAATCGCGAGGTTTTCGCCATTCTGCCATTGTCAAACGAGCCCAGAGCCACTAATCACCTTGGCCTAATGATCTGAGAAAGTTTTTTTTTCTTTTTTTTTTCTCATCTTAAAGCTCCTCTCCGAGGTGTGCGCCGAGACGCATCAAGGTTAATTAAAAGAGCGCGATGTAAAAACCAGCGTCATTTTCTTTTGCGGGACAATCGCGGGCACTCTGTGCACGCGAGGAGGACACATTGTCCGGGTGTGAAGTAATGCAGGCCAAAGCGTCTTGTCCGTATGCACCGTTTTGCTCTGCAGGAGATCGCGTGATGTATATCTTCACCGAGGGGAAAGTAAATTAAATTGGTTTAATTGAAATACCGTCGAGCAGAGACTCTTGAACGTTCAGCAGTGGATATGATATTGACTAAAATGAAGTTTGGTTGCCGAGTTGATCGATCGAGCAGTCGAGGAAAATGTATTCACGAAGCAGTGAAAATTATCTCCGATTCAAGTCGAGGGAGTACATTGACTGTAAAAAAAAATATATATATACATATATAGCCACGCACCCCTCGAGCACGGGAGAAGTCAGGTGCGATGTACAACAAGGTGCAGTCGCGTATAAGGTTACATAGACGAAAAAGGAGGCTTCGGAGCGCGTCGGCATAATTAACGCCCGCATAAGTGAGCGCGCGATGTGTACAAAATAATAGCCATGCAGCGTATGCGCGTATGTATATAACACGTCTAGTGTGTGTCAGGAGGATGTGCGGAAACGCGTGCGGCTCGCGTTTCCGCGGCCGGATTTTCAACGAAATTCGCGTGCTAAATTTTTCAAACGAAACGTAAACAACACTATTCATGCAAAAAAAAAAAAAAAAAAAAAAAAAAAGAAAAAAGTTATACATACGTAGATCCTCCTTGAACGGCGAAGTGGGTGTGTCGACGGTCGTGGGAGTCGTCGGGGTGGAGGCATCTTTCTTCGGAACCTACAAGGTGCAAACAAACACAAACAGGATATTAGTACGCCAAGACAATAAAATTGCTCAACTATATATTTTTCTTTTTCCATAGATTTCTCATCGATTGGTTTCTTTCCAAGATATTATACACACGCATATCCATTTGTTACTGTTTGCTCGAGATGATGATCATTTATATTGTAGGAGCTTGTATAGTATGGGAAAACTGCGCCTTTTAATTTTCAATTTGGGTCGAACCATAATGTTCACTTTTAACATATATGTATTAAAAAAAAAACTCCTCAAAAGTATACTTAATATCCAATCGACAGGGAATAAAAAAAAAAGATAGTAATCCAAAGGAATGTCCAATGCTGTGTACACATCAAGTTTCGGCCTCGTTACGACAGATATGTGTTGTTAAGTATAGAGTTGCCTGGCTGCATCGGACATATATACACACAAGGCGTCGACAACACACGAGTTACCAAGAGCTCGATCGGCCCCGATTATTATTTTTATACTGTGGGAAAGTGGAGTGCGTTACCTTATTATTTCATTACAGCTCGCGAGTCTCGCCCATACACAGCTATAATCCATTGCGACACGGTGGCTTCGACGTATAAAGTTACAATTCTCTTTTCGAAAAGAGGTAACTATACATTGTGTGCGGTGTATACGTGAATTATTAACAAGTAATCGAATCCAGATGTTCAGTTCAAATGATCATTTACACACGGTCTATATTGTATTTTCCCCGTCACGACTAATGATCGTAGAACTGGAAGAAATGTTTAGCTCTTTCCCGGAATCCTTATCACTTTATATTAAGTACAAAAAAAGAAAAATAGTAATAATTTAACGACCGACGATGTAAACATCCAACAAAACAAAAAAAAAGAAAAACTCTATTGCCATATAGTTACAATAGAGGCAGCAGCACCGTTACATCGCCACGAAGGAGGAGGAGGAGGCACCGCACGATACTTATATAGTTCTCGTCCCGAAAATAAAACTCAGGAGGTGCATGTGAATACGAAAAATCGGCCGTAAACGTGAACATCGCGAGCCTCCTTTTGCTTCCATATTTTTCATTTTTTTTTTTTTTTCCTCCTATGCGAAAGAGCGTATACCTACGTCTATCAAGCACTTACTCCCGTGAAAAAGGAGAGAAACAAAAAAAAAGTGGACGAGAAGAGCTCCCGTTCTCGTTTTTAATGCACTCGGTGTATACGCTGGCCGTGCGAACCTCCTCTACTCGGTGCGCTATAGTAACGGTATTTTATATGTATACATATAGGTAAGGATATCGCGCGGTGTTAGAGGAGAGCCTCTTTTCTTTTCTCTAACACGTATATATGTATAGGCGTTTATGCCAACTCGTGCCCGCGCACCACTGCAGAGACCGGTTTGTTTGCGGCAGTGTAATCGGAGTAAGCTGTAAGTCTAGGAGTTTGCATGGTAATTTTTTTTTTTTTTTTTCCTATAAATAGTTCGAATGTCTCGGTGATGGATATAGCCTGACATGGTTGATTATTGTTTGTCTCGAAAATTAAAGATAATTTGCGTCAAAGCCAAGGTTTTCAACACAAAAAAAGATAGTATTTTGTGTGGAAAAATTTCATAAATATTTTAGTTTAAAAAGCCATATCGTTCATGAGTCATTGAAGTTTATAATAGTATACATGATCTTCAAAAAGTTTTTTTTTTTTTTCTCAGCAAAGTGACTCCCAAAAGTAAAAAATAAAAAAAGGACTATTTTCTATTTAATTTAAACAAGCGATCCCCGTGACATACGAGTCAAAGAAGCCAAAATTGAAAGATTCTTCCAGTGGCCAAACAACCTCCCCAATTATTATTATTATTTCTATCGCGAGTTGGGCAAATTTAGCACTTGAACGAATCGAGTGGGACGAAACGCCGAGCCCTCTCGCGTGCCCCATCCGTTTAGCACACCCTTCGGTCATCATTGGGCACGCGATACAAGTAAACGCGAGCTGGTGCAAAGCTTGTTACCCCCCAGTCAGTTTCTCTCTATATTGGATTTTCGAGCTCGATGCATCATTTTTTTCCTCAACATTTGTTACGTAAAGTGCTCAAAACGACCCCCACCGGGGCTTCCTCGGCTCTTATTTCCTTCGCGTTTTACGCGAGCCTATTTGATTTCTTATATTTATTGTGAGTCTTGAAAAAAAAAAAAAAAAAAAAAAAAAAAAGTCAATAGCGACCTCCAAAACCTTGTCTTCGAGCTCGATCTTCTCGGGGACCCTCTGCCTGGGCCTGGGCACGAGCGGCTTCTTCGTCCTTAGCAACTCGATGGTCGCCGTGTTCCTCTTGTTCTCGTCAACGACGCGCCTACCCAGCCCGTAAACGCCGATGGTAACCCTCGGCCCCGAGGACTCGACCTGCTTCTGCCTGAGCTGGTGCGTCCTCTGCTCCTGGCGTTGCTGCTGGAGCTGCTGTTTGCACCTGTCGACGTCGTCCGGCCGCGACTCTATCAGCCGACGGCGCTCCAGAGGGTCGAGGTTCAGCTGCTCGATTATCGCCCGGATGTTGGACGATATGCTGCTCTCGCGGTGGGACACCACCATTTTTGCTTCTCTTCCTTTTCACTTTTCGTCAATGCTGGGAGAGTTTTTTTTTCTCTTCTATCGCCACTCCTTGATTTTTTTTTTTCTCAAGTTTGCAGCATGTTGAACCTTTTTTTTTTTTTTTTTAGAATAGGGGAGAAGAAAAAATTCGTCCGAGTTAGGATTTACATCGTATATTTTTCCGTCGAGATGACAACACCGTTTGCGTTCGTTCATATTCATTTTGGTTGATGAGAATAGACCATCATCGGTTTTTCTCAAAGACGCGACTAAAATAAAAAAAAAAAAATAAAAAAATAACGTCACCATTTTTCGCTCCTTATCTCTCTCTCTCTGGCGTTTGGAAAACACTCGGGATTTTTCCGACTCGTAAATCATACACACCCACACCTGCCCCTACTTGAAAATCAGCATCGGGAGCTCGTGTTTATCAGCTCAGCCGATAAGCGCTCTCAGTGGGGGAAATTGAGTCATACGGGTACTTTATTTTCCTTTTTCCTTTATTCCACCGAATGCTTTCAAGGTAAGAAATGAATAAAATTTTTATCGCCAGCAATAACTAACGAGTGGCGTTTGAAAGGCCGCTGTGCGCACCTGCCTTTTCCAAATATTGAATGAGCACGCACGGACGACGAGGTCGAAGGAGTCGCTGCCGAGTGGAGTGGGGCTGGATCGATCGCACCCCCTTTCCCCGCCCTTTTTAATATAGTTACCAGAGTCCGCGACATCGGTGCCGAAAGTTTATGGGGCAAGTTGATACACGGAGACACATTAATAACGATCGAGGTCGTCTCGTTTACGCTACTCGGTAACGCGAGCACCGATTTCCCGGGGAGCATAGATCGCATAAAAGCTTCTCAAGGGGATGATCCGTTACGTGGAGACACGCACGTACACGATGATTATTTGCATGGCAGCTACAGAATCGTGTATACGAAAGATAATTAATCGCATTTTTCTTCTTCCCCGCGTCGCTCGTTCGGTCCACCCCCCCTCCTTTATCGATCGCCCCCGATTTTTCGAGCTTTTGTTAACTCCGAAGATGACAAAGGACCCAGTGTTTTTTTTTTGTTAAAGCGGTGCTGATTTCCAATCTCGAAATCGCCAGCGGAAATTGCAACCGAATATTTTTTCCTCTCAAAAATTACAAAACGCAACTTCCTTTCGGCATAAACGTTACCCAAGACGCTCGCAACGTCGGCGTATCCTGAACTACAGCTCTGAGTGGTACACAACTCGCGTCCTTAGTATACTTTTGAAAATGATGGCGCGCTACGGTAACACCTGAAAACTCGAGCGAGAGACCCGAAACGCGATCAGACACCCGCCGATTATGACCTTAGCCGTAACCTCGTTGTCGTCGCGTGCGAGTGTCCGAATTGCAAAAGCTACGTGCTCTTTGAAACAAAAAGTCTAGGTGCAAAACCCTCGGTCGCGCCGGGAATGCAGCGACTAATTAGGAGCGATGAATCAACGTCTGTTACAACGCAACGTTCGCCACTGACTTTCTCGCCAATATATATATAGTCTTGGGCAACGTGCTGTCCGCGTACATCCGGATAGTCTACGAAAGATTTTTACGCACGTGTTTTTGAGAATCGTCCCCCCCACCCCATTTCCTTCGAAAGGTGATAATGCTCGCGATGGCAAAGGTAGAGACGTGGAACGTCGTCCCCGGGGGAACGCAAACTGCCATCGCGAGAAGAAGGAGGTGAAAAAAAGGTCGGGCAACGTGAAGAGAGAAGAGAGACATTCGCGCTGGTCGACCCACGCGAGAGATCGCGCACGTACACAATGCACTCCGCCCGCGCCCACGGGACTCGGCGGAGACAAAACAGCGTCTCTTTCTCTCGTCTTTTCCCCGCCACCGTCATCATGTTCCCCTTTCACGTCCGCGCGAATCGTATATTAACGCTCGCGGTGTTGCGGCTCCCATTACCTTCATTAAACTAGCCGCCCATGTATATAGTACACGGAGAGCATGGAAACATAAAATACGCTAGCGTCCTGATTTTGCGCTTCCTTGTTTCCCTCTTGCCCGGCACTTGTCGTTGCAATTTGTCAACGTGGCTTGTTTTATTTGAAGTGCATCGAAAAAGGAATCGTAAATGGCACAATTTGGGCATTGTGCTCGACACAAAACAATGGACAAAGACCAGCGAGCGTGTACTTTCCCTACGTGAAAAGTCGCACGAAAAGTGGAGGACGAATAGTAATGATGAATTTGTCGCGGGATGAGCATTGCCAGCGCGGAGGGCGTTTTGAAACTTTTAAGAGCGAAGAGAGGGATCGAGTTGTTGGCAAGTCACCGCGGTCGCTGGGAAATCATGAAACGGAAAGTGATCAGCCAACCAGAGTCTCGCCTGTGAGATTTTTTTTTTTTTTCCTTCTGTCTCTCGTTTGGGTCAGTGATGGCTCCGAGCAGGAAACGGTGGAAACTCGAATCTCTTTATCTTTGGCCAACAATCAAAAGTCTGTTATGACTTTGATCTCTTGGTGTAAACACGATATTAAAGTTGACACGTAAACATTGACGACGATACTGCTAATGTTTATAAAATTGTGCTATGAAGGTGCTATACACAACCTCGTACAATAAAATGTATAAAATTAAATGCAAGTTTGAAAAAAAGAATCAAAATAAAATGAACCGATCGAGTACACGTCCAATCACGTATATGTATAAGTAGTACGTCTGCGTAGCATAAATCTCAACTGACGACCGATCCGATTTGGTGAAAAAAAAAAAAAAAAAAAAAATGTATGAACGTCACGAAACGCGTGTACCTATATGGTATGGTTGAAGTATAGTGTACCGTTACTTTTTTCGATAGTTTGACGTATATATTATTTTCCACTCCGTGACCCGAGCAGGTGTCAAATTAAATGTCCGAAGCGTAGGTTGTTGCAATATTTACACTAAGCGCCATGAAAACAAGTCATTAAAAAAAAATTTTTTTTTTTTTCAAAGTACCCACCTACTATATTTTTAGTATAAAAAATCAAACGATTAACGATGGTGTTGGTGTTACCTCGATGGTTCCCTTTCAATTTAAATTCAACCGAGAGTTTACGACACCAGTGAGCGCGCATCTGACTAAAGTTATTACAAAACGTTGGCGCTCCGTACCGTTTCGGATGTACCTACGGTTGACCGGAGAATCGGTGTTACCACCAAACAGAAGACGAGAGGATTGATTAATCACGTGTATGTAGATACATTAGTCTGCATATTATTAGGGTATCTCATTTCTTGGATCAAATGAGCACGCGTTTCTTCAATACAGTCGAGTATTGAAATTCAGGTCCCTGCGGTTTTGAGACTGATCGGTTGGATCCTTTTTAACGATAAAATTGTACATGTGACACTACTAGACTTACTGTCGATGAAGCGTGCAAAATATTATTTTGCTGTAAGACGTGATTTTTTTTTTTTTTTTTTTTAGGCTAACAGTGAGGAGATGTTCGACATACACAACGATACAACGAGAAAAGCGCAAAAATTATGAAATACACTAGCTACAGTCGGCTGTGAGCTTTTTGGAGCTTGCAGTGTCTTTGGCTTGAAAAATGTTTAAAATCAAATGCATGTACACCGTGATGATTGTAACTGTCACCACCTAAAAAGGTGCTCTCGGCTGGTGGCAAAAGCGGGTCAAGCGGACTGCGCTCTATTTTATTGTTGAGGTGCGAGCGTGAAGGTGAGCCGAGACATTTAAGCCCGAGTCGGTAAGAGAGATAAGAAAAGTCTCGGCTCGTGAAATGGCACACCTCGGATCGCGTGGGCGTCGCACATACACAATGTTTACCACGAGCTCCCACTGCATTTCGTTCCGTTGTCTCTTGCTTGCCGCGACCCTCATTTGACTCGCGCGGATTAACCTCAAGACGACCATATGTAAACCCACATTTCTTACCCCCCCCCCCCCTCCTTTTTTTCCATACAAACGTGCGATGCGACCTGCAAAGATAACACGGACACCTTTTATTTGTATAAATAAATGCATCGCGCACTCGGCGGGAAAAAGAAGAAAACAAGAGAATCGCGAGGTTTTCGCCATTCTGCCATTGTCAAACGAGCCCAGAGCCACTAATCACCTTGGCCTAATGATCTGAGAAAGTTTTTTTTTCTTTTTTTTTTCTCATCTTAAAGCTCCTCTCCGAGGTGTGCGCCGAGACGCATCAAGGTTAATTAAAAGAGCGCGATGTAAAAACCAGCGTCATTTTCTTTTGCGGGACAATCGCGGGCACTCTGTGCACGCGAGGAGGACACATTGTCCGGGTGTGAAGTAATGCAGGCCAAAGCGTCTTGTCCGTATGCACCGTTTTGCTCTGCAGGAGATCGCGTGATGTATATCTTCACCGAGGGGAAAGTAAATTAAATTGGTTTAATTGAAATACCGTCGAGCAGAGACTCTTGAACGTTCAGCAGTGGATATGATATTGACTAAAATGAAGTTTGGTTGCCGAGTTGATCGATCGAGCAGTCGAGGAAAATGTATTCACGAAGCAGTGAAAATTATCTCCGATTCAAGTCGAGGGAGTACATTGACTGTAAAAAAAAATATATATATACATATATAGCCACGCACCCCTCGAGCACGGGAGAAGTCAGGTGCGATGTACAACAAGGTGCAGTCGCGTATAAGGTTACATAGACGAAAAAGGAGGCTTCGGAGCGCGTCGGCATAATTAACGCCCGCATAAGTGAGCGCGCGATGTGTACAAAATAATAGCCATGCAGCGTATGCGCGTATGTATATAACACGTCTAGTGTGTGTCAGGAGGATGTGCGGAAACGCGTGCGGCTCGCGTTTCCGCGGCATTGTCGTCGGGCGTGTTGTATATACGTATACGTGCACGCGGAGGGAAAAATATGCCCCCTTTTGCGTTACGACTCGGCGCGTTGCTCCGGCTCACTCGAATGGCAAAAAAACGCGGAGGGATTTCATAAAAATGTACACGCGGAAGGAAGTGAACCTTTTTTTTTGTTTGAAATCGTTCGGCTAGAACTATTTTTTTGACATTATAGAGATATGGAGTGATATTTTTGATGGTTGATGGTGACAAGTGGAACATTGTCCAAAGAGAAGAAACGGATGGTTTTT